GCAGCCCTGTTTAAGCTACACAACTTGGAGCTTACACCGGGCTGAAGACTGTTTACAATAGCTGTCAATTTCTATGGGAAACTCAGGAGACATCTGGTTTCAGGAGTCCACTCCTGGTCTCCTGGTGGTTAAGGCAAATCTCTTCTCCCAGAGACTCCAGAGATTGTAGCTGCAAGCTATAGAAGAATAGAAAGTGATGTAAGCAGAGGGAGGAGGAGGTATGTAGAGCCTAACACAGAGTGTGCAATGTCCGGGGTGATGGCAGGCTCTAAAACAATTTCCCCAGGATGACATCTGTGCTTTCCCTACATTCATATGACAGCAGAAATGATGACTTCTGAAGTGGACACCGCAAGAACCATGGAAAAGGAATATACAAAAACATCCCAGAGTGTGGAAAGAGGACCAAAGTTGTAACCCAGTTGTGTAAAAGTACCTAGCCTGGGAGTGGAAGTACTTCATACAACCTGGATACAACTTTGGTCCTCTGTCTTAATAATAAAGGAAGTCTTCAAAGGGGATAATGCCTACCCTAAAAGCTGCAAACACAAAGAAGTATACCACCATTCAATAGACCAATAAACAAAGGAAAAAAAAAAAAAAAAAAAAAGACGCCCAAAACCCCTGACTGGAAAATGATATTAAGAGGTGCTGACAAACCAATAAAAATATATATAAATGTGAAATGTAAACACCCAACAGAGCCTCCCTCTAAAGGCTATGTTGACATATGAAAAGATATAATAACATATTTACAAAAATGTGAGGGGTGAACTCACTTCTGTGAGATACTGTATATCAGGGCTAATGGGCATCTCTTCCAGACAGTGACGAACTGCAGGATGCGCTCAAGTAAAGAGTACGGCCTCTCATAGTGCAACCAATTATGTGACTTCTTCAGGGACCTGAATTCCTGTAGTCGCCACGTGATGTGTGACGCAATGCAGTACGACGATGATCGCCGCCATCTTTGTTTACCCCAAATGATATGCTGTATGAGGGTTTTTTGCCCTGATGTTTTCATGTGAGTGCAATTTCATCTTATGTGTTTGTGGAAAATAAAAAACTGGTTGGATATGAGAGGCCCTTCTATTTATGTTTGAGCGCATCCTGCAGTTGGTCACTGTTCGGAAGAAATGCCCATTAGCCCTGACATACGTGTTTCATTTGATCACTTTTATTATATTGTTCATTTATGCTAACCACTTTTATTGATTTACCTGCACGGCTCAGACTAATGGTCGGCCAGGTGTTTATTTTATTGATAATACCTTGTCTATGGGTTTTTGATTAGTATCTTCCACAGTGTTTATTCATCTTTTATACACTTTTACACGGATATTGTGTCTATAGCCTTTAGAGGGAAGCTCTGTTGGGTGTTTACTTTTCACATGTGTATATATATATATATATATATATATATATATATATATATATATATATATATATATATATATATATTTTTATTGGTTTGTCAGCACCTCTTAATATCATTTTCCAGTTAGGGGTATTAGGTTTTTGGCACATGCTAGGTTATAGTGCAGCACTTTCTTTTTGTTTATTGGTCCTTGGTCTTCATATTCTAGGGACTTTGTTGTAAATTCCTTCCCCACAGTTCCTGCAGTGTCCACGTCAGAGGTTGTTATCCCTGTTAACAGCTCACCTTTAGGTTGGCTACCTAGCAAAAGTGTCTTCAGCATCGGTTGGTGAGACCTAGTTTACCACTGGAGAGGTCCATCCTGGTGATGTGCCCTGATCAAGTCGCTTTATTGTGAGAGTGTAATTTTACCTCTTATCTATTAAAAGGAGTTTTTATCTGTACACTCTGGTGTGCTCTGTTTTGTGTTTCTATTTAAGCCAGGAAATGTTAGGGCCGTAAGAATCAAGAAGTGGCTCCGAATTGCAAACCCGTCACCCCTTTTGGTTTACCTTAAAGCAAAATTTTACCATAACAAGTTGAAAACAATTAATGTTCTTTAACAAAAAGAAAATACATTCCACATTAATAATTATGCTACTAACCCTCCCCAGTCCGGTGCTCCAGCAAATGCTGGAGGGGAAGGGCAGAAAGCCCTCAGTCACAGCTCTCTGCTATTAGCGGTGGTGAGAACTGAGGGATCAGCAGTATTTGATCACTCAGTTCTCACTGCAGAGCCCACAAGGGAACAGTTGCAGCATGCATCCATACATTCTCCAATATTTTTGTCTACTGTTTATTTCATTAACTTACGGTACTTTTCTTTTCAATTTATTTTTGTTATTGTCATCTGAGGTGCAGCTGGGGTCTGCAATCCTATGTGTACCTCCACAAACTTCTTTACTACAGCCTACATAGTTTATTGGGCATTTTTTAGGTGAATTGGCCACTTGGCGCTGAGACCGGTCTTGTTGTCAGGTAGAGCTTAAAAGCTCTTATAGGTTATGTAATAATATGCCTTTTCTGTTTGTCCTATTTAAAATTAAATGATTTCACATGACAGCTAGTTTTGTAACAAGAGAAAGACAGACCTCTAGTAAAGTATTATGAGACAAAGTCAGCACATATGAATGGACATCTGGTGCACATTGTGTTATCCCAAGAAAAATCAGTTCTAGAAGATCTGTGGCAGCTGGATACAACCTGTTAGTGCTCAGGCAAGGACATGGCGGAGTTAATATGGCAGCGGGCTACATTCCTCTCGGAAATGAGGAGGTTACAGACAAAGCTCTGTGCTTGGAGTAACACTGTATTGACATTTCTACACACAGCTGATGACCACTGCAAACAAATGCTTCCTGCTGTTGTCAGGGAAACTGGGAAAGGTTCACTTACACGAGGATGGTGAAAGAGAGACAAGATGTACAGCTCTCCAACTGACGAGTGTGAGAAAAAGAGAGAAAGATCGGAGCAAGTCAATTAGAACGGAAAGGCCAAGAACAAGACTCGGTTCACACAGCTTAGTACACACAGCATTCCCAGTACATCCCAGAGCCAAATGCATATTAACCCTTCTCTATAATCTGGACATGACTGGCACCTAAACAATTCACTGCACGCTACAGAGCTGTACACAACAATTACTTTGCACATCACTGCAGTGTACTCCATCTACAGAGCCCAAAACACAATGTAACATTACTTGTACACTGATACAGCTTGCTACACAGAGCATTTGGAGAGAAACGTTACATCCCAGGACACACATAGTTGTTTTCCAATATGATCCATTATGTACAGTATTTCCTGAACAGCAGTTAAAGAAAGCAACCTCACTACTAGTTAGTGGATACTGAAGGAGCTAGTGCCCTCAGCATTCCTGTACACAATGTTCCCTGAGCATCAATGGAACCCCATACACAAACACACAAACAGGGGCGGACTGACCATTTGGAAACTCGGGCACTGCCCGAGGGCCCGGGGTCAGTAGGGGGCCCCATTGGATGCCCCTGGTACCTTTTTCATAGGCTTTTTTGAGTTTGGACAAGGATACAGGGGCCCCATGATCCCCAATTGCCCGGGGCCCCATGAGTTGTCAGTCCGCCCCTGTACACAAATTATATAGAACCCAATACACACACCATTCCCTGCACACTAATAGATCCCAGGTCACATTGGACACCCTGCACACCAACAGAACCCATCAAAACACATTTCCTTTGACAGCAATAGACCCCCAGTACGCATGGCATCCCCTGCACACCTATAGAGCCCAGTATACACAAAAATTCTCTGCACACCAATGTAACCCAAAACACACATAATTTTGCACCCCCCCCCCAATACAGCCCAGTACACAGAGCTTTCCTTGCACATGAGAAGTACTTAGTACACAAAGCATTTCCTGCAAAATAATAAAACCCAGTACACAAAATTCCCTGCACAACAATAGGATCCAGTACACCGAGCATTCCCCGAATAAACAAACCCAGTACAAACATTAATCCCTGCACCCCAATAGAAGTCCGTAAACATAGCATTCCCTGCATACCAATATATCTGAGACACAGAGCATTCCCTGCACTCCAAAAGGACCCATTGCACACATTATTCCCTGCATATTAATAAAGCCCAGTACACAGATCATTCCCTGCACACCAAAGGAACCCAGCAGAAACAGCATTCCATGCACACCAATCGAACCCAACAGATACAGCATTTTCTGCACTACTACAGAACCCAGTACACAGATCATTCACTGCACTCCTAATAAAACCCAGCAGACATAGCATTCCCTGCACTCCAATAGAACCCAGTACATAGATCATTCTCTGTACATCAATATGAGCCCAGCAAACACAGCATTCCATGGACATCACTGCACACCAATACAGTTCTTGCAGCATTCTATATTTACAGACAGAGCAAAGTACTCACAGCATTCCCTGCACACTGACAAAAATCAGTACACACAGCATTGTCTGTGCATTAATACAAGTATACATGGCATCTGCAGCGCCAATAGGTGGAAACTGACAGAGCTAAGAACACATGGTGCTGTCTCTAAACAACTCAGTATTTCAATACTGTACAAAAAGACTTCCTATACAAATGACTATAGATTAAAAAAAAAAAAAAATCTCTGTATACACCATAATCCTAGTATAACAGAATTCAGTGCAAAAATCATTCCCTATACATCAACAAGCACAATGCATTCAGCATTACTTGTACAACAATACAATCCAGTATACATATACATATCCCAATTCCTGTATACTACATTGATAGCTAGCATTATGGTATTAACAAAATTCCAGGCAAACCATTAAAACAACAAGCACTGTTTTTTGAGGTTAGTCAACACTAATATAGCTTAGTGCACACATCATTCCCTATATACCAGCACATCAATGAATACAGGACATTCTCGGAAATAATACTATAACAGCTGTCCTTCTAGAGTCAGTACCAGTATTCTCTTACACTGCTTATAAAACACAGCATTCTATTTAACTATCGGCATCTTAATTCACACATTATATCAAATAGTATAAAAGTAATACATAGCAAACAACAATACCTGTACACTGATAAAGTTTCCTGGCCTGTGCAATATCCCCAACACTAAGCCTTGTCCTCTGTCCTATTGATGGCTTAACTCCATTTACTTCATATTTAGGTAGAATTGTGTCAAGGAAAATCCCTCTGTAAAAAAAAAAAACAAATTACAAGAAAAACCCAAAAATGCATGGAAAATTAGCAATACAGCCCCCAGGCCACGGACACCTTTATTACAAAGGTTTAAAAAGCGACCTTCAAATATTCTGTCAAGACAGTTGTGATCCATCAAGCGGAAACATTGCAATTGGTAAAGACACTGGAGTTTATGAATTCCAAATACTCCCTCACCTGGAGAAAGTATTCTTAGCATAGTGCATTATGCTGTCAAAATCATAGGTTTCTCCCAAAGATTCCACCTCTTCTGGCTCCATTTTCAGGAAATTATACTCCTGTCCTGAGGAAATAACAGTCAATCAGATAATAACACAGGGCTACTCTGGAATTCTAAGCTGCTAATGAGGAGTAGTCACGCACTTGGACACACCCTCGAGGAGTCCTGACCATACAATTACCCTATATTCTCATTTTCCTTGGTTGCATATGTTACACTTACCCTCTGTCTCTGGATTTAGTTCTTAGTAACTGATCTGGAAGAAGCTTGCCGATAAGGAATGTCAGAGTGAAGTCATAACGCCTAATCTGCATGCTTGTTTTGGGTAAAACTCAAAAAGTACTTTCCCACTTTCTGACAATTTCAATACCCATTGGGAAAACATTTTAATGAAAACCAGTTATGACTGGAGTTATGAAAAAAAAAAAAAAAAAAAAAAAAGTGTATGTCCAGCCAAAACAATTTTCAATAGTGAGAAAGGAGCAGAACCTCTGTTGGGTTTTTACAGCTATCCGAGGCTCTGGTAGAGAGATTTCCACTCCCTGTTCAACTGACAGCAATAAAAAGCCGACAAGGATTTAGCCATCCCGCGTTCTACTAAAAAAGGGCATTTTTTATTTCTGTTTTTGCTGGTGTTGGAGATTTTTCCTTACTTCCATGATAATGAAACTATTGTCAGTAGGCAGAATGTGAATGAAACCCAACTTTCCTACTCAATACTTTCCTACTCAATCCAACTCAATTTCTGGGCAAACACTTTAACCTTCCTAATCACATTGAAAGACAACACCATGGCTGAAAGTCAGAGCCTACACGCTCCCATGAGGGTTGATAGTTGCTGCCTTTTCATAAACACACCTCCCCACGTGTTTGCATAAAAGTCTAAAATAAGAAAGGGATGTAATTTATGGGAAATTAAGCTATGGTGCTGTGTCAGAGAGTGCACAGGACAGCAACTGCTAGTCCTCAAAAGGCCCTCTTCAGACTGATTATATAAGTAAAGCTAAACAAGGGGACAAATATAAAGATTTCCATATGCATTTCCTTATGAAAGCATAAAGAAATGTATATGTAAACCCAATTGTTTCCATTTATTTTAAGGTTTAATAGAAGCTTTCATTCAAAATAGGGGACACTAAATGCACACATGATCATTTCTGGTGGAACTGGAGCTATCCTTTTTTTTACTTGCCAATACCAGCTACCAAAGCCCACCAAAAATCCCTGGGGACCATCTTCTCAAGTACCCGGTTGGATGTTGTCTCGAATGATGGTGACGTGATGATCCCGGTCCGGCCTTGTATGTTCATGCCAGAATCCAATGACGTGACCCAGCTCATGAACCACAATTCCGAACTTGTCACAGTTCTTTCCAATAGAAATGGCTTGAGGTCCTCCTCCACGACGACCCACGTAGGAGCAGCACCTGAACACAAGGAGATAAGTCAAATGGCACAGGAGAAATACTCTGAAAACTGGAACGATGTTAAAAACCACACGGCATTTCAGTTTTGAAGGTGGAATGGTACCTTACCCACAAGGCCTATATGTGAAGACAATGTAACTGTCCTCATCTGTTCTCTCTAGAAATGTGACACAAGTGTGCTTCTCCCAGTGGCGCATCGCTTGCCGAAATATTGCCTTCTGACTGCCTGTGACATGTAAGGTCAACATATTAGAAGATACTAAAATGGTAAAAGGAGCACTTGGAAAGTTATATGCAATATAAAATGGATCATACAAAAAACTGATTTCCAAAAGGGAAAAAGCTTAAAACAGACAATGTAATGAGGGCTCTTATTTTAAGATAGAGTCATTGAGAGACCTGTGAAATTTCCACTGACGACGTAAGGAATAATTCCATGTGGCCACACACGTTCTGGTCGAGAGGTTGCGGCTCGCCTGCCACGGGAGACTCTTCTGTCTGTGCGTGCTCGGCGTCCTGTCTTTGACAATGTGCCATTCCTAGCAGGTCTGGATACTGGGTAACGGAAGAGGAAAGAGCAGGATCAATTGCTTATACAGTTCACCTACATACTGCATGCAAGTAGAGTAGCAGAGAATATAGAATGGAAAGGGAGAGAGAAGATATTTAGTGTATATATATATATATATATATATATATATATATACACACACACACACATATATATATATATATATATATACACATATATATATATATATATATATATATATATATATATATATACATATATACATACACACACACACACACACACATACATATATACATACACACACACACACACACACACGACACACACACACACTGCATTGTACACACACACACACGTAAAACTGCCTGAAAAACTATTCATGTCCCTCGAAATTTTCCACATTTTGTCATGTCACAACCAAAAACGTAAGTTTATTTTATTGGGTGTTTTTTGTGATAGACCAACACAAAGTCCAGACATAAAGCAAAGTGAGAATCTGTGGCAAGACTTCAAAATTGCTGTTCATGGAAGCTCTCCATCCAATCTGACAGAGCTTGAGCTATTTTGCAAAGAAGAATGGGCACAATGTCACTCTCTAGATGTGCAAAGCTGGTAGAGACATCCCAAAAAGACATTCATCTGTGTTTGCAGCAAAAGGTGGTTCTACAAAGTATTGACTCAAGGGGGCTGAATACAAATGCACGCCACACTTTTCAGATATCTACAAAAAAAAAAACCATTTATCATTTTCCTTCAACTTCACAATTATGTGCCACTTTGTGTTGGTCTATCACATAAAATACATGTATGTTTGTGTTGTAACATGACAAAATGTGGAAAATTTCAAGAGGCACGAATACCTTTATGAAACACTGTCTATCTATATCTTTATACAAATAATATATATTCCGATTTAAATAGACACTCTGGAGAATCCTTTCTCTATGCCTCCTTACGGTAAATAACAAGCACCCCCCAAATCTATGTGCAGGCTCCCCTAATGTGATGCTCAAGGTCTTAGGGTCTTTTCAGCAGGCCTAATCATTGTCACAGTTCGATAAGAAGAGGAAGGCATGCTTATGATTATACAAACAGTGATCATAATGCTGCTTTTTGCAAATCCACTTCAGATGCCTCCTGGTAGTGTGTGAAGGGGTGAATGTATTGGTGAGCTGTATGCCCTGGGCTGAATCCCCAGTACCCATCTCGGTCAGGTTGAGGAGGGTAACAATAAACAGTCAGATCTGAAGACCCGAATTCAAAGGTCTCAGCATCAAAGCAATGTGGTAAACCAGTGGGTTTTTTCAACCTACTGGCAACCTTTTGTAGGAGTGATGTGCAATGAAAAAGGTGTCTATTACTCCTAACAGATTCCTTAATGTGGAACTTTAGTCAGCAAATTAAGTTCTGCTAGATAACATCAAGCTGACCCCTTTTGCAGGTATTATGTAAAACATTAAAAATAAGTGCCTATACTGTTTTAAATCGAGTAATACACTCACTCTGCTCTGTACATGCTCAGCTGCTCAATTTTTTGGCACTGTGCTAATCTGCTGACAACCTAAAGATTTACTGCTGCTCAAAGGCTCTGGGCTTCAGGAAATGACAGCCTCCAGCAAGAAGAAACAGGAACAATGCTGGAGGCAATTTACAGAACACATGAATTATAAAAGAACATTTTTTTTTTCTCAAGCTATGTGTAAAGTTCCGCTTTAAAGTTCTGATATAGTCTGGATGACAGTGTAGATAGAATATAAATGGAATGGAAAACAGACACCTTTACTGGGTTTGACCTGTTTTTCTGATTCAGTTGCTAAAACGTTTACCAGCAGCTTCATACAAAAAAAAAACAAAAAAAAAAAAAAAACACAGCACTTTGGCTCTTGCAAAAGAACATGAAAAGGATTTGTCTCTCACATATTCATCAGCAAGGCCACGCTACCATGGATGTTGCCAAACATAAATCTGGCTGTGACAGGAGGAAGGGAAGATGCTGTCACTTTGTTTTTCTGCTGAGTAAGCAAATAGTGAGGGAGGCTCTATGTTTGTGTACATGCTTGTCATTCCACAATGACCCTGCTTATCAGGACAAGATTTCCAGGTCCAGAACACTCTGTTCAGCACATTTCCTATGGAATTATCACTGATCTGCCTTTTCACCTACACAGGATAAAGCAACTGTCGAGTATTGTTGACTTATCTCTCTGCACGTTATTGTCAGTTCCTGTTCTTGCTGCTACACTGTCCGTTTTGGGGGACTATCAATATTTGGACTTCAGAAGGTACAGGGTTTTACCTAACTGACCTACATTTTACCTTACTGCTCTGGGTTTGATTCTCAGCATGGAAGGTAACTGCATGGAGTTTGTATATTTGCTTGCATAGCTTACTCCTTTGGGTTCTCTAATCACTCCCCAAAACATACAGCCAGGTTAACTGATATCTGCTCCAACTGGCTTTACTATGTACACATTAATATGATTGTGGTAGAATCAATCAACTGCAATATCATTTGAAACTGAGACAGATCAAAACTGGGTTTGGTTGAATTATCAGAGCTTGTATATTCAAATCTTTGAGTTTAGCGCAGCCATTTTCAACCAGGGGTAGGCAGGTTGCCTACTTGTAGTTAGATGGTTTGCTGCCCTAACCGGTCCTGTGCCATTATAAAAGGGACGGGGGTCCGGATCCAAGGGTTGTCGAACATAGCCTTGCTTAGCCTGAGAGAGCCGCAATGTCGAGAGTCTGAGAGGCCCTAAAGCCCAGTTCATCAGCCCTAGTCTTTAACAGGCACGGGGACTGCTAGAACCTGCAGTCCACCCTGAAGACACCAGCTTCTGAAGCACTGCCATCATGGAATGCCAAGTATTGACTTCACCTGTGCAAGTACGCTGCAGTAGCCAAAGCCTAGTTAGCGTTTGAGTTTGGGGATGACTGTTGACTACTTTGAGTTCTTTCAATAGAGTTTGGAAATGTTTTCATGCCTGGTCTGAAGTTATTCAGAGGGGTGTATGCAAGTAGTTAATTCTGCAAGAGTTAATGCAGTGTGGAATACAGCAAGTGATTACCAAGGGTAACAGAAGTCAAGTAGTCAGTCATGAAGAGTAGTACCTATGAGAGGTGGGGTGTCCTCTAGCAGGGAGGGAGTTGCTTCTGGTACTCCCTACCCGAGCGGTCCGTCTCCCACTGCAAATGGGAGAAGAGCAGCAGAGGCCCAGAAGAGGGTGGGTTTATATAGAGGAAGTACCTCCTGCTACTCTTACAAGGGTTTTTTGGAACCCAAAGGTTCCTTCAGAGGTTGCTAGGGGTTCAATGGGTTGTGGCTGATCCATCTCCCATTTGATGGTGCCTTCATAATTTCAGGGACAAGGTTATTTAGCAAGGAGCATGGCATCAATGATTTTTTAAAAATGTTTCTAAGGCCGACATTCTGACCACGACTAAGAGTTGAATTATTCTGACTACCAATGTAAGGGTCATTGTCCCCATTGAACCCAGATGAATTGGCTTTAGTATGGGGTCTCAGACAGCAGAAAAATAATTTAGGGGTTCCTCTGGGGTATAAGGATTACGAATAGACTGGTTTATAGGATAATCTAGATGATAAAACTATGTCTATTAACAAAATAAACCTTCAAAAAATAGATGCATTGTTAAAGTCCAAGTACAGTCAAAATCAAAACCAGAAAAAAATCAGTACAAGGGGCATTAATTTACAGTCCGTATCATGAGTCCCTTGTGCAGATACCTCTTCTGTTAGTAATAATGTGCCTGTCCTCCATATTTAGATACTGTTCCATTCATAGAAGCTAGAGTACAGCTTTAGTGAATGAAGAATGAAGCAGATGGGTGGGCAAAGACAGAATCTCTTGATGAGAGAGTATTCACTCCCATTGCAACAGAAGAGCAACAGAAGGCGGCAGGGGTAGGACAGAGGAAAAGTACCACTAACAGCAGAGGAATCAACACAAGGAACACATTCTACTGACTATAAGTTATGTGCCTTGTGCCGATTTTTCTGTTTTTTCTTTTGTCACTTGGGCTTTAAATAAATGTTTTACCATCATAAATTACATACCACAAACCCTAAAGTGATTGTAAACCCTTGAATATAGCCAGTGAAGCGTCCTCAGGTGATACTCGGAGATTAAACAAATCCTCCTACATAGATTGTACGTTTATCTACAGCAGTCCACCCCCTACATCCATTCAAAATGCAGAATTTACACAGGATCTCCGAGTTCTCAAAAGTAGTGAGCGAAGAGCTTAAGTTACATCAGCTATATCTAAAAGCCGAAGGGAAGGGAAAGGACACCCCCCTTCACACAGCTCACAGGAACAGAGTTCAGGCTGTCAATCACAGGCTGTTCTCTCCCTGACACCATTTTTCTCTTGGTGTCAGGAAAACTTGTCAGAAGTGATTCATGCTGATAGCAGAGGAACGAAGCAGAAGACAGAAATTACTCTTCGTGCCTTGGATTGATACAGTCACACACTATGCTTTGCTCATGTTCATGTCTGAGGTTTACAACCACTTTAAAAAACTGTCCTTTCATGAGTCTAGTCAGCTCTACTTTATGTGATCATCACAGTATAAAAAAAAAAATGTTCTGTAGCTATAAAAGGAATATGTCCAGCACATTTACTAAATACTAGTCTGGGAAAGATTACGGAACAGGGAAAATCTTAGAAACAGGTATGTGAACCACGTTGCTTCATAATGTGCCAACACACCATCATTCCAGAAGACAGTCAACATTTGAGACAGGTTGGCAGGCTTTATTTAGTGTGATTCATTAGATCCTGCAGAGATATGCACATTATAAACCAGAGAGAGGCTAAAGGAAGAATTTGATAAATAGGATTAAGTGGAAACTCCATTACATGTTGGGAAGGACAATTTCATTACACTTTGTAAAAAGGACTTAAGTTTGGCAGGCCACCAATTATCTATCCAGTAGAGCCTTTGCTCTTCAGACTGAGAGGAGTCAATGGACGTAGCATGTGTATTTTCTGCATAGCCCAAT